CCTCACTCAGATCCAGCTCCTTCGTTTTCTCTTCCACCACATTTTCAGGCCACAGGTCTGCAAGAGACAGGACTGGTACCCCAAGCCAGGAGCAGCCACCCTTCCCTCCTGCCCCGCTCCCAGCCTCCCCCCCCCCAACTCACATTGGTGGGTGATGAAGCAATGGGCAGCCAGGAGCTTCAGGGAGCGGACCTCAAAAAGCACCCGGTGGAACAGCAGGTCGTGTGCCGTGGGCCGCCGGCTGGGGTTCAGGAGGAGGCAGCCCAGGATGAATTCCTTGGGGGGGGGGGCAGGGGAGATGGTTAAGGACAGAAAAGCGTCTCTTCCCAGCAAGACAGGCAGCTCAGCCCTACACAGGGACAGTTTGGGGGCTGAGCAGGAAGGGGTGACCTGCAGAAAAGGGGCTGTGGCATGTAGCTCATCCTGGCAGGGGCCAGCCATGCCAAGGCCACACCCTTCTGACCGGTCGAGCATCAGAGTCCTCCGGCTCACGGACTCTGAATAGATGGCAACTGACTAAAGAAGGATCCTCCCAATTACGTGGAATGATATTTATTACTAATTTATTCCTTCAAGCATTTGACAGATGCCGAGTGAACTGGTGCAGATTTGTTCAATGAACAGAAAATTCTGCAAGCAAAAGCTTTGTGGCGCTCAGTGGCAGCCGGAAAGGCTTCCTTGCAGTGTTAAGCCAAGCGGGGCCCACTGGCATTCCCAGAGGTGCCCTCCGGGCTGAAGAAAAAGAGGGTGGGCCCAGCCTAGCAGAGCCAGCTGCTCCCGCAGTTTCCATCCCATTTTTCTGGAGCTCCGCCTCCAATGTATTGTTTTTCATTCCGCTGCAGTGGCTGCCGACACCTTTGTTACCTACGGATCTTAAGTTCCCTTCAGCCAAACCTAGTTTTCTCAAGGAGGGTCTTGTTGAGGGAGCGGGATCTGCAGCCAGCTGTCCCCGAGGTTTGGTAACTGGTCTCTGTGGAGGCCACCTAAAATTGTGCTTGCTTTCTGGCCACCTCATCACCCCATGGTTTATAAGAACCCCCCACCCTGAACATTTCCAGAAATACCTGCACGGTTAACTGACTGGCAGCTGCCATTCCACGCTCGCCTCTTGCTGTGGTTCAGTGCCAGGCTGCCATGAACTCGGGGGAGGGGGGGCTGGATGGGAGGGGGGAGGATTCGAAAAGTTCATCTTCCCCCCCCCCCAAGAGGAGGTTTCAAAGTCAACCAGCTGGGACTGGAATCCAGCTGCATCCCAAGCCCCCCACTTGAGGCCTCCGTTCTGAAAGCCTCTCTGGATTTGATTGGACATTGCGGGGGGGGGGGGGGGGCTTAAGGCAAGGGAAGTTTGATTTGGGGATTTTGGCAGGTGAATTTCACTTCTGGCTTTACGCTACTGTATTTCACTTGACCTCTAGTAAATTATACCTTTCCCAACAAATGGGAGTAAAGGATCTTCTTTCTTAGGTGTGGAGCATTTGAGTATCCAGAGCTCCTGGGGGTATTTCTTCTATCTCCTCCAATCTCCCCATCACTCTCTGCCTCCTTACGTTCTCCGGTTGTTCCTTACGCTCTGCCTCCTCCCATCATCGGTTCTCTCGTGGCTTTTGGGTTCTAAGCTTTGTGAAGATTGTCCCCCTCCCCAAATGGACAGCAAATCTGAACGCTGCGAAACTTGGCAGATCAGCAGTTGCTGATAGTTCGTGGCTCACCGAGCTTTTCTCAAATCAGGGCAATCGCCGGAATCCCCCGGGAGGCCTCCCGCCCAACATTCCTCCTTGGAATTTCCTGCTTGCAAACGTGGCTGCTCGTTCTGATCAGGGTGAAGCCTGGTACCCAGGGGACTGAGGAGCAAGCTGCTCCCTATGCAGAGAGAGAGGGCACCAGCGGGACCAAACTCTTCCTGTGGCTCTGTATCGTATGACCCCTCTCTAGCCCAGACTGACTGACTGGGCAGACGGCAAAGAAGTGGTGGCCTGAACTCCCTCAGACCCACCCGCAGGAGGCAAGAGTGACACCCACGGGTCTGTCCATAGTACAACCAGGGATATCTCGCCATTCTGAGCTGAAACGTTATGCGCTGTTCCAGGAGTCATCCTGTCGCCCCCTGCCCTGCCCCACCTCAGAGGGGCCAGGCTGCCTCTCACCCGCATGTTGGGGTCATCCAAAGAGTGCCTGGCTCGCTCAATGGCCTCCTTGGTCACCGAGGAGTCCCCGTTCGACTGGATCTCCAGCACGCCCATCTGTGGGAGAGGCCAAGATGGAGCCAGGCTGGCCACGTAGGCAGCAGCTGGGTTCCAGACCCCCAGCAGCAGAAGTTGGGTAGGGGGGACTTTTCCCACTCAGCCTCTGCCCCCGCAGGCCCTTACCTCCAGCGCACACATCCCGAAGGAGAAGATGTCCACCGCTGTGCCGTCGGCCGTCCCTGAAAAGCCAACGGCATCCCATGGAGCTGGCCTGCCCCAAAACGGCCGTGCCCCTCCCCCCCAGCAGAGGGTGCTCTCTCTCACCTCCGTACTCCGGTGGGAAGAAGTGCAGGTTCCGCGGGTCCTCCCGCTCTGTATGGACCGGGCTGTGGAGCTCGGGCGGAAGGGCTGCAGGAGGGGAGGGAGGGACTTGCTTAGGAGAGAGCAGCACGGACTGGGGCCCCAGGTGTCGTCCAGAGCTGGCTTCCTGCATCAGAGTGCGGCGTCCAGAGGACCCAGTCCTGAAGTCAGGTGAGGGCGGAAGGACTCGACTCTGAAATGGGAGCCAGCAGGGCCCTTCGGGCGGCAGAGAGAGGCGGGAAGATGCAACTCCAAGCAGCTTCACTCACCCTTTGCAAAAACACGATGCCAGACTGTGGGGGGGGAGAGAGAGAGAGAGAAGAAGGCGGCCGTTAGAGGTGCAGGGCTCCTACCCAGAAGCTGCAGGAGAGCCCCAGCTGTGTCGTCCCAGCAAAAGCCTTGTGCGTTTGCTTCTCATCCTGAGCAAAGAAGTCCTCGATGATGGGTCAGGCTGAGCCCAAGAACGATGACCAGCAATTCAGCCAGAGGTCGGCTCTTTATTTGCTTGCACAGCCTAGGCAGAATCTTGCCAGACTGAATCCTCGCTACGCCCGGCCTGACGAATGTGCCCCCGGGGGGGGGGGGGAGATGCTAGGAAGGGACCATCCTGGCTCTCTCCCTCTGCCTCCCACCCTCCAGCTTCAGGCGCTGCTGCCGCTTTCTGGAAGGTCCTACCACCTGCCTGGGAAAGTGGCACCAGGCATCGTCTCTCTCACACAGGGGAAGATGCCCCCCACCTCACCAGGCTGTCTGTGGCAGGTCCACCCACAAGAGTCCTTCTCTTCCCCCGGGGGGGGGGGAGGGGGCTGTTGGGGGGGGGGGGGGGGGAGATGCTAGGAAGGGACCATCCTGGCTCTCTCCCTCTGCCTCCCACCCTCCAGCTTCAGGCGCTGCTGCCGCTTTCTGGAAGGTCCTACCACCTGCCTGGGAAAGTGGCACCAGGCATCGTCTCTCTCACACAGGGGAAGATGCCCCCCACCTCACCAGGCTGTCTGTGGCAGGTCCACCCCCAAGAGTCCTTCTCTTCCACCGGGGGGGGGGGGGGGGGGGGGGTGTT